TGGCTATCCCAAATCTAGATATTTCTTCATTTTTTTCCTTTTCTCTATTAAAATTCCCTTTCAGATGTCCTACTTGCCTAGGTCTTTGCTAGCTACTAGTTAGATAATCTAATATACCAAGATATGCTAATTATTTCTCATATTACTCTTTCTAAGAAAAATAGCATGCTCATGTTTTCAGAGTACACTCATGCAGCCACACTAATGACACTGTGGACAACTCCAAACAATTGTCCCACAGGGCCTCCTCAGTAAATATTTGCTAGATTAAGAAAAAGACAAGTAGTAGGAATTTCAATTACTGTATCATGCCAAGTCTGTGATGTACGCCTGTAATTGCACACTTGAGAAGCTAAGGCAGATCTCTTGAGCCCAGGAGTTCAAGGCTAGCCTGTGCAACATCAGCAGATGCTGTCTCAATGTCCAGGAATCACACTGCATCTCCATAATCTTTTTACTCTCACAGTAGCCTAGACAACTATTTCATACTTTCCCTCTTGTGACAGCTATTCTGCTCAACAAATTGATTGGCTTGAGAAGTACCTGAGATATCAGTAAAGCACATCTCTGGGTGTGTCTGTGAGGGTGTTTCAGATAGGGTTAAATAAGACATAGGGCCTTGTGAATGCTAGGCAAGTGTTCTACCACTAAACTATACCCTCCGCCCCCTAAATCTATTCTTAATACATCCTGCCTTCCCTCCTCTTACTAGGGATGAACTATCTGTATCATCTAAAACTGATTTCTTATCTGTACATTTTCCCAATTCCTTTTCTCAGTGTTCTCTTTTTCAAATAGCCTTATTGAAATATAATTTACATATTGCACAATTCACCACTTAAAATGTGCATTTCAATAGCCACGGGACTGTGAAACTATCATCGAGATCTATGGTTCTCCTGAAGGAAATCTTACACCCACTAGCAATCAATCTCCAGTCCTAATCCACAACTAATTTACTTTTTGTCTTTACAAATTTGCCTATTCTGGATAGTTCACATAAATGGAATCATTCAATACATAATCTTGTGTCACTTGGGCTTCTTTGACTTTGCCTAATGTTTTCAAGGTTCATCTATGTTATAGCATGTACCACTACTTCATTCCTTTTTATGGTTTAATAATATTCCATGATATGGTAGTATAGTTTAGTTCAGTGGTAAAGCATGTGTAAGGCCCTAGGTTCAATCTTCATCTCTTCAGCACACACACACATACACACACACACACACATAAAGAAGGAAGGAAGGAAACAAGGAAGAAAGAAAAGAAGGAAGGAAGGAAGGAAGGAAGGGGAAAAATCCATTATATAGATGAACCACATTTGTATAGACACTAATCAATTGATGTACATTTGAATTACTTTCATTTATCAATAATTTACTGTGAACATTTCTATACAAATTTTTGTGAGACATTTTCATTTCTCTTGGATAAATACCTAGGACTTAAATTTCAGGGTCATGGTAATCTTATGTTTAGTTTAAATTCAATTTTTTTAAGGAGATAAAGACAGGTTTGTAATCCCAACACTAGGAAGGATGAGGCAGGAGAACCTCATCTAAAATGTGATTGAAGAGGTGGAGGTTTTACTATGTTGGCCAGGTTGGCCCCAAGTGCCTAGGCTCAAGTGATCCTTCTGTCTCAGCCTCCAAGGGAGCTGGACTTAGTGTGTAACTTTTAACTTTTTCCCAAAGTGCCTGCATTATTTCACCTTCCTGCTGGTTATGTCTGAGGGCCTCCGATTTTCACTTACTTCCAGCTAGGTTTTCACAATTCCCTGTACTTGTCAAGTTTGTTCATGACGTCCTCATGGCTAAACCCATGGTCAAGTTTCAGTGTTTGTCCTGCTTGACGTATTAGCAGCCCTTGATCCAGCTAATCTCTCATTTGTCCTTAAAACACTTCTTCATGTGGAGTCTAGGAAATAACAGTCTCCTGTTTTTCTTCTTGCTGAGCCTGTCTGCCCTTCTTCCTTCCCTAGCATCTAATCACTGTCAGGTCCTGGACCCAGTCCACTCATCTACTTTTCTTTCTTTCTCTTTTTTTTTTGTGGCATACTTACTAGGCAGGCACTGTACCACTTGACCCAGTTTTTTCCTTTCTCTAACTACATTCATTCCCTTAGGATCTCACTCAGTGTAAATATCATTTCTATATCTTGTCTAATATAGTAACTAGTAGCAACATGTGGCTATATAAATTTAAATTACATAATATTACAAATTCAGTTCCTTGATTACATTAGGTACAATTTAAGAACTCAAAGGCCACCAAACAGGGCAATGCAGATAGAGAACATTTCTATCCTCATAGAGACTTCCATTGTACAGTGCTGATCTAGAAGTCTCCTCTGAACTCTAGATTTATATATTCAGTTGCTTTCCTGATGGCAATAAACATCTCAAACCTAAAACCCTGATACTCCTCCCTAAATCTGCTCTTTCCATTGTTTTGTTTTTCTATTTCAGCTGGTGGCAACCCCATCCTTCTATTAATTCATGCCAAAAGCCACAGAGTAACCCCTGCCTTCACTCTCAGTCCACATCCAATTGATCAGCAAATTCTATCAAGTGTATAGCCAGAATCTTAACACTTCTTATAACTTCTATTTTTATCTTGTTTGCAGTCATCACCACTGTTGTAAATTTTTCTCAAGAGGTCGTCTTCCTTCTGTCCTTAGTTCTGTAGGGTCTATTTTCAACATTAACAGCTACAGAAATTTTGTTAAACTCAAAGTCAAATAATGTCAGTCCTCTAATTGAAATCTTTTAATGGCTTCCCAGCTCAATGAGAGCAAAGTCAGTCCCTATCACAGCCTAGTGGGCCCTATGTGATCTGAAACCATTATGCTCTGATCTCATCCTCTACTATTTTCCCTTTGCACACTCCTTAGCAGTTATATAGGCTCTTCCTCAAAAGCACCATTCAGCCCTCCCTGGGACATATAATTTAGAAGTCACTAAGTTTAAAAATCTCTAAGTTAGACTAAAAGATGGATTTAAAAAGAAAGGATGCAGATATATAGGTATTCAGAGTAATTTATCTATAACCATGAGGTCCCTAGCCAGTAAGTGGGGTTAAGTGACAGGAATTACATAAAGAAAGGGTCCTCTAAAAGCTGTAATCCCAATTACTTCATTAAGCCTATATCTCAAAAAAAAAAAATCAGCTAGTGGTCATCTGAACAGTGGAGACAAATTTTCAACTGACAATACTTTTTTCCTTTTTTTCATACACACACACACACACACACACACACACACACACGGGGGTTTTTGGTCAGGTTATCACTATATAGTTCAGTTAAGCATTCAACTCATGATCTTCTTGCCTCAGCTTCTCAAGTGCTGAGATTATAGGCATGTACCACCACTACTGAATGAATATATTTATGGTACACTGGGATTTGAACTCAGGGCCTTTTGCTTACTAGCAGGCACACTACCACTTGAGTTGCCACGCCTCCAGGCCTTTTTGCTTTAGTTTTCTGGTAGAGTACTGTATTTTTTTGTCCAGGCAGGCCTGGACCACGATCCTCCTACTTAGATCTCCTGTGTTGTTTGTATGACAGGCATACACTGACACACCCAGCTATTTTGTTGAGATAGGGTCTTGTTTGCTAACTTTTTGCCTACACTGGCCTCAAACTGCAATCCTCCTTATCCCCACCTCCTGAATAGCTGGGATTTCAGGCATGAGTCAATGCACCCAGTCCTGGTTGACAATATTTTTGTTTTGTTTTTTTTAGTTTGAACTTAGGGGTTTGTGCTTGCAAATCAGGTACTCTGCCATTTGAACCACACCTTAGTCCAGTGGCTGGCAATATATTTTAAAATAAAATTTTAATTACTGGAATCTAAAAAATTGGAAGAAAGGGGTTAAAGTATAACTCAGTGGTAGAGTACTTGCCTACCATGTACGAGGCCCTGGGTTCAATCACCAGCACCACAAAACAAACAAAAAACTGGAATAATGTGGATTAGGATTTCTTTGGTAATAAGATAAATATATAAATTCTTATTTGCCAAATTATAAAAGACCATGGTACAATGTATAACTGCTTGCTCTCTAAACAAGTTCAACCCAATGTAGCCAGTCAACAAACCAGTAGGTTTGTTTTGAGATAAGAAGCTTGTGAAAGAAAGCAATTCAGTACATTGCTTTCTTTAAAATGAAAACATATCCATGAAGAAAATTTCAGGTGAAATATGCTTATTAATGTAAATGTCTTATATCCTGGTATAAGCACTTATCTCACTGGAGATTAATAACTAATATTCCATAAATTGGCATAGAACAATAAGTTCTACTTTGGGCAGGATTGCCCTAAATCACCATCTTTTGTTGCTGTTGTTGTTTGCTTCTGGTGTTTTCTAAGTGCTAGGGATTGAACTCAGAATCTCACATACACCAGACAAATACTCAACCACTGAACTATACTCCAAATTCAATTCCTTCATCTTTATCCCAACACTACCTCAGTTTTTTTTTTTTTTAGTGGTTTGAACTCAGGGCCTCATGCTTGCTAGGCAGGTGCTCTACCACTTGAGCCACTCCACCAGCCCACCTATCCAATTTAAAAAGAGTATCTTCTATATGCAATGTCAGAGTTTCTGGGCCATCTCCCATTCTGCAACTTACTGGAAATAATTTGCATCTTGTTTATTAGAGATTGCCTAGTTTTCTTATTTATATTGCACAATTTATTTTATTTTGTTTTCTTGTGGAGGTACTGGGGTTTGAATGAAGGGCCTCATGCTGGCGAGGCAGGTGCTCTACCACTTGAGCCACTTGAGTCCTTGCCAGTCCTGATAATGCTGGCTGAAGAAGGTGATAACATCCATGAACAGTAATATACTGGCAAAAATTTTCAATCAACAGACTCAAAACTATAATTTTAAAATAGATTATATAATAGCAGTTCATAAAGGTGACTATGTAAATATCAGTGTTGAAAATTTTTATTTTATTTGAAAAAAATATAAAATCATCCATTCTTCAACACTAACCTAAATATTCCATCAGCTGCTCAGCAGTTATGATTTCCATCATTGGTGGAAGTTTCACCTGAAAAAGAAAGTATTATTTCTATAAAAATGCAATGTTTCAGATGACCAAATTGTTTCTTACAGTCAGAAACATAGGTATTTATGTGTATACATGTTTTTACTATATGTATACATAACAATCATTTTATCATATTTATAATTAATCTTTATAAAATACAGCATGTTAATCCTATCATCACACAATGTACAGATCATACAGAGATATTGACAAATCTGTTTTCAAAGCCAAATGCTGCACCTTTTACCATCCACCGTAATTGCTATAAGAGCCTTGCCAACAGTGTCTTGCATGGTAAAAAATTTGGTTAAAGGGCAGGAAGAGGCACCAAACGTGTGACAGGTCACCAACAGAACAGTTTTACTAAAGGCAACACTGAACACAGCTCGGTTTACTGTGGCCTTTCCTTAAATGATTAAAATGAATACAGTATTTAAGTATTAGTCATCTACTGAATAATTCATCCATATGATTTAATTACAATATAAAATTTAAAAACTGGCAAAATAAACTATTGTTCAGAGCTACACACATAGGTGACAAAACTATAAAGAAAAGTAAGGAAATTCATGCCTGTAATCCCAGCATTCAGGAGATGAAGGCAAGATCATGATTTTGAGACCAGTCTGGGATACCTAGTGAGACCCCGTCTTCAAAAACAAAAAACAAGACTGGGTGGCTCACAGCTTTAATCCCAACTACTTAGGAAGTATAGGTAGGAGGATCACTGGTTGGCCCAGGCAAAAAAGCATGAGATCCTATCTGAAAAATAGCTTAAAGCAAAAAGGGCTAAAGGCATGGCTCAAGAAGTAGAACACTTGCCTAGCAAGTTCAAACTCCAGTATTACCAAGAAAAATTTTAACAGACTCTTTTTTTTCTTTTAGCAGGTTTATATTTATAGAAAAATTGAACAGAAAGTACAGAGACTTCCTGTATATAGCATAAAATATATTGAAGTGTACCCAAATATATATACATATATTCTATGTATTCTTTACACTACAAAGGCAGTTTAATTTCTCTGACAGAGACTATATGGCACATTAAAGTGTAAAATATGGGAAGGTGGAGTGGCTAGATGGTAGGATGAATGCTTAGCAAGCATGGGATCCTGAGTTCAAATCCCAGTACTGCTAAAAAGAAAAGCCTAAAATATTTACTATCTGATTCTTTACAGAAAAGTTTGCTGATCTCTGCTTTACATTATGCAAATATATATTTAACTATATCTATACCCATACATATATTTAACACTTTTGAAAATCTGATATTTAAACAGTCAAGTTTATATTCTAAAAACGGAGCTTTCACTTTTGGACCAATTTGAAAGTCCTGTTTATACCTAACCATGTTTCTTAAAGTACTACAGAAGTGTATTCACCAGAAATTTTCATAAACAAATAGCTTGTCCTCTGTTTTGGTTAACTACAGTCATCCTACTACAAAGTTGTCAAAATAAGAAACCAAGGGGAAGAGAACAGAGTTCAGTGATAGAGCCTGTGCTTCAAATGCATTAGGTTTCAGGTTCAATCTCCAGCTCCGTAGGGATAAAAAAAGAAAGAAAACAGGGCAACAAAGATATATACTTGGGATACACATTCTACAGTCCTAGGTATCTAGAAACAGATGATTTCAGAGTGCAGTCTTGAAATTTCAAAAGTGACTGCCTACCACATCTTGCTTCAAATACATGAAATGGTAAATGACAACCTATACTGATGTTAGAAGTGGCCTCAACATAAACAAGGTCCAAAATAAAATGACAGACCTGTTTAAACTGTTAATAAAATCCTAAATTGGAAGGTAAAATGTCCTAAAAGTGATAGGCCAAGATTTTGATATGCTGAGGGGGGAGGTAAATGCAGAAGATTCAACAATAATTAAAGAAATAAGAAGCAGCTCATATAGATGACACAAATAGGAAGATGAACAGCCATAGGTCATTGTTAAATGCTTAACTGCAGTATTAATAAGTACCCAAGAAATATACAATTTGAGTTCCAACACCTTTTTGAAGTTGGGAAGATACTTGAGGAGATATAAAATTTGAGTCTTTGCCAGTCTCTGTTCTTTATCAGACTGTCTACTAACTGCCATTCTATTTGCTTGCTACCTTAATCCAAGAAAACTCTACAAAGGAGGTATTATTACCTTCTATTGGGGGGCATATTGGGGTTTGAACTCAGGGCCTCATGCTTGCTGGGCAGGTGCTCTACCACCTAAGCCATGCCATCTGCCCTTTTTGCTTTGGTTATTTTCAAATAGGATCTCTTTTATGCTTGAATGGGCCTGGACTGCAATTCTCTCATTTACACTTCCTATGTAGCTGGGATGCTAGGCACATACCACCATACCCAGCTTTTTATTGCTTGAGATGGGGTCTTGCTAAGTGTTTGCCTAGGCTGGCCTTGAATCACAATCCTCCCTGATCTCTGCCTCCTGAAAAGCTATGATAACAGGCATGAGTCACCATGCCTGGCTATATTTGTACTATTCTTTTATTATCGAGAATAATTACTGTACTTAAAGTATGAAAATTCAGATGTTTGGCTAGGCACAGTGGTGTGCTTCTGTAGTCCCAGCTACTTGGAAGGCAGAAGCAGGAGAATCAACTGATCCCAGAAGTTGAAGGCCAGTGTGGACAATATACAGAGATGCTAACTCAAAATTTTTTTTAATTAAATATTTTTTAAAAATTAAAAAAAAAATAAAATTCAGACTTTTAAATAAATCCTAACTAGCTTTCAGTATTTAGTAAATTTAACTTGCTGTCAGTATTCCACATCAGGAACATTTTATAAGATAATCTCAAATTTAGAAAAGTTAATTTGAAACACTTTCACCAGCAATTTTTATCATAATTTGGATTTCATCCTCAAAGTAACACCACAGTCTATGTAGAACCACAAGAAACTACAGATATATTCATACGTACCTATTGTATATGCACTTTGAAGTATTTTATAGCAATGAAGAATGTCATTACAGTGAGATTTACAAATAAAAGAAACATAACTTTAATGTACAAGATCCTGGATTCAATCTCTGGCATTTTTCAGTCTCCTGCCTCCCCTAAAAGAAAGTATCTTCAGTTCATAATTCACTACTTATATTTAGTAATTTTATGCTGGAAAACGTCCACAAAGAAAGCCTGACAGTGAAATTTTTACATTAATCGCTTGAAAGATAAATGGGAATAAATAAAAAGATGACAGACCTGCCAGAAGACAACTAAGGTAATACAGGTTAGAGATAAAGAAAAGTCGAAGTGTAATAGTGGCAACAGAGACAGAAGCTACTAATTACTTAAAATATGAGGGCTGGGGTGTGGCTCAAGTGGTAAAGCTCTTTTCTAGCAAGCATGAGGCCCTGAGTTCAAATCCCAGGACTTCCAAAAAATTGAAAAGAAAATATCTGAGAATGTATTTCATAAACTGTGATGGAATGGGCAAGCTTATTTACCACAGAACCCCAGAAAACACTGAAATTAGAAATCTCAGACACTTCAAAACACGTAGGATAAAGCAAAGAGAGCAAAGAATGGAAGGAGTTTGTCTAAAGAGCAACTGGTGCCAGATCACTAGGGTTTGAGCTAAGTCATCATCAAGTCTGTCTCCAATTCTCTGACTATTCCTGGCTCTCCCACCCTGCTTTCACCAGACCTATTGGGACCTTTACCTTCCCAAGTAAGTATCTGGAGTAGGGACTCAGGTTCTGCAGTAGGAGATAACCTTACTTTGGACAAGTTATTTAAACTCTGCACACCTTGATTTTCTACACATGTAATCTAAAAACAAAACCTAAAGGGCTGGCAAGTGTGAAGTCTTGAGTTCAAATCCAGTACTGCAAAAAAAAAGAAAGAAAGAAAAAATATTTAGGGCTGGCAGAATCGCTCAAGGGGTAGTGCCTGCTTTGTAAGACTGAAGCCCTGAGTTCAAACCTCAGTATCACCACCAAAAAAGAAAAAAAAAAAAACTTATGTGCTGGGCATCAGGGTATACAACTATAATCCCAGCTATTGGAGAGGCAGAGATAGGAGGATCATAGCTTGAGGCCAGTCTGGGCAAAAAGTTAGTAAGTCCTCCATCTCAAGCCCAACATAGTGGCCACATGTTTCTAATCCCAGCTACATGGAGTCATAGGTAGTATTGTGGCCCTGGGCAAAAACATGAGACCCTCTCCAAAACATAAATAAATAAGTAAATAAATAAATAAAAGCAAAAAAGGGCTAGGAGTGTGGCTCATGTGGTAGAATGCTTGCCTAGCAAATTGAAGCCCTAAGTTCAAGTCCAACTATCAACACCAAAAAAAAAAAAAAAAAAGCAGAAAGTAAAAAGAAATTGTGCCTAAATATTTCATAATGTGGTTGAGAAAATTAAAAGAAAAAATATATAATGTACATAAAATACTTAGCACAGCAAGTAGACACAAAAATAATTGAGTACAGGGCTGGAGGTATGGCTTGAGTGGTAGAGTGCCTACTTTGAAAGTGCCTGCTTTACAAATGTGAAGCCATGAATTCAAACCCCAGTTCCACCAAAAGAGAAAAAAAAAAAAAGAAACTGAGCACAGCCAAGCATGATGGCACATGCCTATAATCAATCTCAGCACTGGAGAGGCTGAGGCAGGAGGAATACAAGTTCAAGGCCAGTCTAGACCACATAGGGAGACCCTGTCTCAAGAAAAAAAAAAAAGAACACTATTATTATTCAAAATCCTATAATTGTTGGCAGCACTCATACCTAACTGTCCTTTACCAGGACCTGACAGTTGGAAGGGGAAGGGAAGGTTTTTTAGTGAAAGAACACTGGTATCAGAGACAGAGGAGAAAATAAACACATCTGTCACTGATAGGAGGGTGATACTAACATTAGCTCTCATCTAGTTCATCTCAAAAATCCAGAAAGACAACACCACTTCGAATTCTTGGGAGAGACTAGGGAAGAAAGCCTCAGAAATGTTCCTTGAATCCGTGTAAACAAAGCTCCACCACTGTGTG